AGCTTGCACTTGCGGGGGTGAAACATGCCCAATTGGAGGAGAAGTATAGGAAGACTATTGAGCATAATAGGATTTTTAGCTCAACTGTCCGTGACCTCGATGTTAGCCTTAAATCCATTAGATCCGCCGGGGAAAACCTTTCTGCCGAGGTTACCCAACTCAAAGAAGAACTTAAGCGCCAAGCGGCTTCCCTCGTTGTTGAGAAAACTTATGTTTTGTACAGCATGAGGAGAAAAACCTTGGAAGAGGCTAAAGCGGGTATCATTGAATTTGATGTCGAAATCGCTAGGGCCCGTGAGTTTGAGTCAACTGATAAAAGGGGTCTCCCGGTGGGGCCTGATGCTTCCAGTTCTTCTGGTTCTGGTTTCGAAACTTCGAGAACTGAAGAGAAAACGGAAGTCAAAGATGTTTATTGCCAAACTGATGAGGGCCAAGATGTTGAGCCATCGGCGGATCTACCCACTTCCCCTGGGGGCGCATACACTTTTCTTCCTCCGGGTTCCGGAGATGCAGCAATTTAGATTTTCCTTTCTTTTTCTAACTTTTGTATCGGTGCCACTTCAGAACGTTTATTGTGAATAAATACACCTTTTTCTCAAGTATTACATGAATCTTTCTTTCATTTGAACATTTATGCAAGTTTTAATCTTTGCATTCTTTTTTGCTTAAGTGTTCTGCGTAAGTTTTACTGTTTGCGTCTTATTGTGTAAGGCCTTGGGTGTATTTTTTTCCGAAAGCATTTGGATTTTGGGCACAAGTTCTTCTGAAATTAACTCTTTATCGTGAGGATTTTCATAAGAGAGGGCCCTATTATGTTTACGGTGCTCTTGAAGAGGATGTCTCCTATTCATTACGGCACTAACATTTGAAGTACTTGTTTAACCTTCAAATGATAAAATCAATTCATCTGTCAGACAAGAAACAAGATGGAAAATAAAAGGACTTTACTTTATTTCTTCCTTTTTCAAAAAGTACATAAGAATTCGTTATGCTAAAAAAATTGCCATTTCTTGTGGCTAACTCATACAACTTGGTTCTTACGGGGCTGGCCGTGCAGTCCTCGGTCCCGATGATATAACTATGTTTCCTGTTTTCATGCTCCGGTCGACGAGGCAGTCATTGTTGTCGTATCCTCATATCATTCCCCCATAGTGTTCAAATGCAAAGGATGCGAATTGGAACACTGGAAGTCTTGCACCTTCGAGGACCCCACTAATGAATTGCTAGACAATCTTCAGCTCGGTAACAAACTTCGCTTCCCTTTAGGAATTTATGCTATCGAGCAAAAGACTATCTAACAATCCTTTAGTAGTTTGCACTTCTGAACAGTCGGGTAACCTTTGCTTGATAGCAAACTCACTTTCCCAGTGGGAGTTTTGCTATCGAGCCAAAGATTATCTAACCGCCCCATAGTGGTTCTTCGCTTGTGTACCCTTCTATTAAAGGTCTTATTGTTGCTGTTGAAACTTTCTTTGTAGTATGCTTTTCGTTGCTGCCTCATTAAATACCTTTCCCGGAAAAAACCTGGACGAATGGAAAAAGAGTGCAGCACATACTTTCAGTACAACTGCAATAATATCTCTTGAGGTGTGCCACATTGCAGTTGCTTGGCAACTTTTCCCCATCCTGATTCTCCAACTCGTATGAACCTTTCCCGGTGACAGCTAAGACCTGGTAGGGGCCTTCCCAAGTTAGACCTAGCTTCCCTGCGTTGAGTTCTCAGGTGTTTTAAGTTATTTTTCTTAGAACCAAGTCTCCCACTTTAAAATAATAGAGGTTGGCTCTTCGATTATAATATCTTTCCATTATCTGCTTCTGGGCTGCCATTCTTATATGTGCCAAGTCCCTGCGCTAATCGAGTAGCTCCAAGTTGACTAACATTGCTTCGTTGTTTGTCTCTTCACTTGCCTGGAAATATCTCAAGGTAGGCTCTCCTACTTCCAAAGGGATTAAGGCTTCTGCTCCGTACACGAGGGAAAAAAGAGTTTCTCCTGTGCTCGATTTGGACGTTACGCCCATCGCAATCCAGGTAGTTCCTTAGTCCATTTACCTTTAGCCGCTACCAACCTTTTCTTGAGATTTTGTATAATCACTTTATTTGTCGATTCCGCTTGACCATTTGCGCTCGGATGATAGGGTGAAGATGTGATTCTCTAGATTTTCAAATCTTCAACGAACTTTTTGATCTTTGCGCCTATAAATTGTGGCCCGTTATCGCATGCTATCTCTTTTGGTATTCCAAATCTGCAAATTATGTTCTCCCACAAGAAATCCCACTTCACGTTCACCAATCTTCTGATAAGGACCCGCTTCAATCCACTTAGAAAAATAGTCAGTTAAAATTAAAAGAAACCTTACCTTACCAGGGGCCGGCGACAGTGGTCCGACGATATCCATTCCACACTTCATGAATGACCATAGAGATAAAACATAATGTAATGGTTCTGCTAGTTGATGTACCAATGGTGCGTAGCGTTGGCACTAATTGCATATTTGCACGAAAGCTTTGGCGTCTTGTTCCATTCGAGGCCAATAATATCCCGCCCTTACCAATTTTAGCACTAAGGAGTCTATGCCCGAATAATTTCCACATATTCCTTCGTGGACTTCTCGCATAACATAATTAGCTTCGGACACTCCCAAGCATCGGGCCAATGGGCCTTGGAAAGAATTCCTGTATAGTTGGACTCCTTTGAAGTTATATTGTGCTGCTTTGGCGCGTAGTGCCCGGGACTCCTTGGAGTCTTCGGGAAACTTCCCGTGCTCAAGATAATCTATGATCTCATTCTTCCAGTCCCAGACCAAATTAGTCGTATTTACCTCATAATAGCTATCTGCGTCCAGGACTGAGTGCATGAGTTGTACTACCATCCCGGAATTCGATCCCGTCATTTCTGTTGATGAACCGAGGTTAGATAATGCATCTGCTTCTGCATTTTCTTCCCTCGGGATGTGAGTAATCGACCACTCCCAAAATCAAGCCAGCAGAGCATGGACCTTCACTACGTATTATTGCATGCGCTCCTCTTTGGTTTCAAAGATCCCGTAGACATGATTTACCACCAGTTGGGAGTTGCATTTGATTTCTATGACCTCAGAATCTAGTCCCCCGGCCAGTTCGAGTCTTGTAATCAAAGCTTCATACTCTGCTTCGTTGTTAGTTAAATGGACCGTTTTTATGGCATGCTTTAGGGTTTCTCCCGAAGGCGTGGTTAACACTATGCCAAGCCCGAACCCCTTTATGTTGGAAGTTCATTCCATAAATAAGGTCCAAACTCCCGATGTCGATTCTGACACCATGACTGCTTCCTTGGTTTCCATAGGCAGCAATCCCAGACTGAAATCGGCCACAAAGTCAGCCAAAACTTGTGACTTAATCGCAGTCCTCGATTTATACTCTATGTCAAATTCACTCATTTCGATGACCCATTTGGCCAATCTACCCAAGCATTCGGGTTTGTAGAGGATGTTCCGTAGGGGAAAGGTGGTCACCACAGCTATCGGGTGACATTGGAAGTAAGGCCTCAGCTTCCGAGCGACGACCACGAAAGCCAACTTCTCCAAATATGGGTAGCGAGTTTCTGCTTCCATAAAATTTCTACTAACGCAATAAATGGGAGATTGCGTACCTTCATCCTCACGGACTAAAACTGCGCTTACCGCTACCTCCGAGACTACGAGGTAAACTAAGAGTGTTTCACCTTCCTTTGGTTTTGATAGTAACGGAGGGCTTGACAAGTACCTTTTCAAATCTCTCAAAGCATGCTGGCATTCCTGGGTCCATTCGAAGTTGTTTTTCTTTTTGAGCAGCATGAAGAAACAATGGCATTTTTCTAATGACAGGGAAATAAACCTGCTTAAAGCGACCAATCTTCGTGTGAGCCTTTGAACTTCTTTCACGCTTGATAGATGGTCCGGGATGTCTTCGATGACTTTGATCTTATCGGGGTTTACCTCAATCCTCCTTTGTAATATCAGAAATCCTAGAAACTTGCCGGAGCTGACCCCGAGCACGCACTTCTCAAGGTTAAGCTCCATGTTATGCTTCCTTAGGATGTCGAAAGTTTCTTACAGATACTTAATATTATCATCTGCGTTCAATGACTTAATGAGCATATAGTCTATATAAACTTCCATAGTCTTCCCTATTTGTTTTTCAAACATATTGTTTATGAGCCGTTGATAAGTGACTCCAGCGATCTTTAGCCCTAAGGGCATCACATTATAGAAATATGTGCCGAAATTCGTTATGAACGAAGTTTTTTCCTGATCCTCCGGGTTCATCTTAATTTGGTTGTACCTGGAATAAGCATCAAGGAAACGCATTAACTCGTGCCCGTCCGTCGCATCAATCATTTGATCGATGTTTGGCAATGGGAACAAGTCTATTGAGCACGCCTTATTCAAGTCCTTATAATCTACACATATGCGGAATTTATTATTTTTCTTAGGAACTACTACTACATTAGATAGCCAGTCTGGATACTTTACCTTTCGGATCGAACCGGTATCAAGTAGGCGAGTTACCTTTTCTTTGACGAATTTATTTCTGGCCTCCGCAATAGGGCGTTTCTTTTGTCTTACCGGAGGGATGTTGGGATCCAAGCTTAGCTTGTGTATGGCCACTTCCGTTGGTATACCTGTCATATCCGCATACGACCACGCAAAACAATCGGCATTATATTTAAGAAATTCAATAAAGCCAAACCTGAGCTCGGGGTACAATCTTGTCCCCAAGTGGAATTTCCTCTCCAAGAACTTTTTAAACAATGCAACTTGCTCGAGCTCTTCCGCTGTGGATTTTGTCGCATCCGTCTCTTCTGGTACCTAGAAATATCTCGGCACCTGATAAGATTTCGACGCCTCTCTCCTTGGCTAACTTCAGTCGATTCGGGAGCAGGCACCGGTTCCTGTAATTTTTATGCCTCATGCTCCTTCCTTTTGCTACTGGAGACCGAAATCTCATTCATCTCCCTTGCCGCTGGTTGGTCGCCTCTTATCTATTTGATTCCTCCGGGTGTTGGGAATTTCAGCAACTGATGATACGTTGATGGTACGTCTCTCATCTCGTGCAACCACGGTTTTCCCAGAATAATATTATAACCCATTTCACCGTCCACAACTTCAAACAGAGCCGTCTTCATCACTTCTTCGGCGTTCGAGGGCAGCATGATCTCTCCTCGGGTTGTTACGCTTGCGAGGTTGAACCCGACAAGGAGTTTTGTGGCCGGAATGATGCTTCCGGTGAGTTTGGCTTGTTCTAATACCCTCCATTGTATAATATTGGCTACACTTCCTGGATATACCAGAACACGTTTGATTTTGAAATCTAGAACCTTTAAAGAAATTACCAGTGCATCTTTGTGCGGAAGCAACAATCCATCTGCGTCCTCCTCTGTGAAAGTGATGCCGTCTTCAGTTACTTCTCGGAGTCTCTTGCTATGGGTTATTGATACCTTCGTCTTTTTTGTTGCCGAGAAGGTGACCCCGTTGATCTCGTTCCCCCCGAAGATCATGTTGATCTTCTGGAGCGGGGGATCTTCTCCTGCTTTCGAGGGGTCCGTGTTATCACAGTTGCGGCCATAATTATTCTTGGCTCGATCACTTAAGAATTCCCTGAGATGGCCATTTTTCAATAGTGTCGCTACTTCTTCACGTAGATGTCGGCAGTCCCTAGTCCGGTGGCCATTAGTACTGTGGTACTCGCACCACAAATTTGGATCCCTCTGGCTCGGATCGGACCTCATCGACTTCAGGAACCATGCTTCTTTAATGTTTCTCATAGTTGGTACCAACTCCACTACACTGCCATTGAATTTGTATTCTGACAGCCTGGGGTAGGAAGGATCCCATGTACTTGACGCTTCTTTGTCCTGCAAGGATCTGTTGTTTTGACTGCGATCAGTTCTTCTGTCGGTAACGAACCTATCTGCCCACCGAAAACCTCTGCCGCGTCCTTTGGCCCGTTCGTAGGCAAAAAACTGACCCCTCAAAGACCGTCAATCTTTGTCGAAATCGTCTTTTGATTTTTCTTTACTCTTCTCCCGTCCTTTTGCTGATGACGGGAAGCCAATCTGATCATTTTCAATCCTTATCTTAGACTCGTACCAGTTGTGTACATCCGTCCAAGTCATTACTTGGAACTCAAGCAAGCTCTCCTTCAATTTTTGGGAAGCGTCAGAACTTCTCAGATTCAGACCCTTGGTAAATGCTCGAGCCGCCCATTCATCTGGAACAACCGGGAGCAACATTCTCTCCTTTTGGAACCGGATGATGAATTCCCGCAGCAACTCGGGATCTCCTTGTGCAATTCTAAATATGTCGGCCTTTCGGGCCTGCACCTTTCTGGCCCCGGTATGGGCCTTAATAAAAGAGTCTGCCAGCATCTCAAAGGAATCTACGGAATGCTCGGGTAACAACGAATACCACGTCAAGGCTCTCCTCATGAGAGTCTCTCTGAATTTCTTCAGCAAAACAAATTCAATCTCGTGGGGAGCTAAATCGTTCCCCTTTACTGTCGTTGTATAGGTGGTAATATGTTTCTGAGGGTCTGAAGTTCCATCATACTTCGGCACGTCGGGCATTTTAAATCTCTTCGAGATTAATTCTGGTGCCGCGCTTGGTTTGTACGGCAGCTGAGTATACTTCTTTGAGACCGGCCCTTTCATCACTTGTGGCGTACCCAGGATTTGGTCCATGCGGATGTTCACTTCCCTCATAAACCGTAAGAGTTCGCTCTTGAAGGTATCGTTCTCGTTGTTAGGGCCGAATCCGCTCCCCTAGCCCCATCGGAGCCAACCTCGCCCCTCGGGGTATTGTTGTCTACCCTCTGGCGTTGTTTGATTCGCTGGAGCATCGGGAGGACCTGGACCTTGTCCATTCGCATTATTGGAAGCCCCCGACAACGCCTGCTTCAACTTTGTCATAACCTTATCCTGACGTGTGAGATGGCCTAGAATGACCGCTTGTTGCTCTTGCAGGACCCTTACCGCTTCAACAACATGCTCCTCTTCAGCATCATCGGGAGTCGCCTCCCGAACATGTCGCGGGTGCCTCCTGTCGTGGACCGGCGTAGCATCATTCCCTTCATTGCGGATGTCACTGACTGAATCCTCATGATGAGGTTGGTCTCCTTTGGCTTCAAGATTGTGTGTTGTTAATACCATTATCTGCCATTTTTTACGATGACAAATAATCAAAACACGTTAGTAAAAAAGAGAAGGATCAACTTAATTACACGACTATCTAGGCCCCACGGTGGGCACCAAATTATTTACGCATAAAACGGTACAGTTAAATTTATACGTGGTTTCTAAACACTTGAATTATTTGATCCTAAATAATAAAATAATTGATAAAATACGCAATACTTAGCCTTGAAATGAAGACAAAATAGCAGAAACAATAATTCCGGGAGTAGGGCTTTCGACCACAATAGTAATGAAATCAAGGATTAAGAAGATAAAATTGTATAAAGTTTTGAATTGATTATAGCATAAGTTTTCCAGAAAATTCGTGTATTTACAATGATAATAAAGCTTACAATTTATAGCTGCAACTAGGGAATAAGGTCCTAGAATAATGACCTTCTTTAATGTCAATTATGAGGGCCATTGAAGAATGTGTAACGATGAGCATAACTGACAAATTCTTTGTAACGGACAACGTACTAAATGCTGTGGAATATTCTCCATTAAATGCTACCGGGCGGCAGGTATTTATTGCATCTTTATGAGCGTCATTCTTTCCGATAACAAATGGAACGATTGTCTTCGGTTTTAACTATCCTCTGCATTCGGCTTCACGTGTCACTCTCTTATGCAACCACTTAGCATAACATATTTTACCCTATATATTATTGCTTCCAGATTCAGTAAATAATAGAAAATAAGTTTCAAGGTCAGGTATATATACGAATTAATTCCTTTTCCACAATACACAATTTTTTGTGAATGATTTTCCATCTCTGTCTCTCTATTTTTTCAACTGTCTTTCTCTATTTTCTGATTTTTCCCTTCTTACTAAGTACATACTATACACACTAACAGTTGACTAATATCGCGTATTAGATGGAAGGAAAAATATTCCCGACAGCTATACATGTTCATGTAACACTGAACAAGTTGGCTAATTAAAAGTCAAGTCTACCAGTTTAGTTGTCACTACTATAGTAATTGAAGGAGTTTAATTAGTTCTATGCGTGGACAGTGTACGTATATATTTTTTTCACCATCAGATAAAATTAACTTACAATAACAACTACCTCTTCACATCAAACACATGATAATCGATTTAATAAACTAAAAATAAAGGATAAACCTACTATAAATAATGTTAAAATATTTTATACTGTCAGCCAGTGGTGGAGCTAGGTGGGCGGAAAATGGTTCATCCAAACTCCCTTCGCCGAGAGATTACATTATATATA